AGATAGATAGATAGATAGATAGATAGATAGATAGATAGATAGATAGATAGATATGAAAAGATTGGGATAGATAGATGTGAATATTTCTATGTTAGATAAATTTGAATGTTTCTGATTATATAGATAGATAGATAGATAGATAGATAGATAGATAGATAGATAGATAGATGTGAATATTTCTGTGTTATATAGAACAATTGACGAGTAATCAAGAAGACAGTATATAACGATTGACATTGCATTTAAATTTGTTTATTAATCATTTCACCCCATGCAAGGCAGTAAAGCCACTAAGACACAAGGGGTTACTGAGTGTGAAAGGATTAGAAAAAAGAGAAACGTTATTATTAAGGAGAGAGAACAATAGAAGTGTAATCAAGAAGACAGTAGATAACGATTGACATTGTATTTCAATTTGTTTTCTAATCATTTCACCCCATGCAAGGCATTAAAGCCACTAAGACACAAGAGCTCATCTTTTTGACTTCTTGATTACTCTTCTGTTGTTTTCACTCTTTAATAATTTTTCTCTTTTTTCTTATAGAAACATTATTAAGAAGCGAGAACAAGAGAAGAGTAATCAAGAAATCAATGCATTGAAATTTTTGAAGATCAAAGTTGGCTGGAAAGAGCGGGACTTGAAGAGACTTCCACAAGCGAGAAGTACGAGAAATAAACAGTTCGCAAAGAACCTATGGTTAATCTAGCCGTTTCAATTGTAAAATGATGAAAGTTTGTCGATATTCATGTACTGCACTTAAATTCATAATGACTAGCGAAGAGTTCACCATAACAATTACCCTAAAAGTATTTAGCGTTCAATCCATTCACTATTAATTGTTCCCTGTCCTTTTTTCCTACTAAATTTATAGTAGACAGAAGAGTCCAACATAGACTCTTAGAGGGATGACACCACAGCTGGACCAATAATATTGCTGATTCTTCTTTGGTTTGGTATGGTTTGTTTTACGGCATATGGGTTATTTAATGCCGACAAAATTTCTATTGCTGGTAATAATTTTTTTCCAATAATGTATTGCTTGTAATAATGTATTGCTGATAATAATGCATTTCTGGTAATATATTTTTTCCAAAAATGTATTGTTGCTAATATTTTTTTGTTAAAACCTATTTAATTGCAGGTAACATTCTTTCCAAACATTTATTGCTGGCAATATTTATTTTTTCAAAAAAGTATTACCGGTAATAATGTATTGTTGGTAATTTTTTTACAAAAAAGTTTTTCTGGTATTAAAACCTATTTTTTACACTTTCGTAGTGTTTTGACCCAAGTTTGAGGGTTAACTATTTACCCATAGTTGGGACCCTAACAATTGCTACCACCGCGGGTCAGGGTTGACCTGGGAGCACCAGAAATTAAGAGGTGGTTCCACAATCCACAAAACCTCCTGGTCAGAAGCCTTGCTGTCGGACGAAGTTTATCGTCTTACCCAGGACGCGGATGTAGTCTATCGTCTTACCCAGGAGGCGGATGTAGTTTATCGTCTTACCGAGGACGCGGATGTAGTTTATCGCCTTACCCAGGACGCGGATGTAGTTTATCGTCTTACCCAGGACGCGGATGCAGTTTATCGCCATACCCAGGACGAGAATGTAATTTATCGACTTACCCATGACGCGGATATAGTTTATCGTCTTACCCAGGACGCAGATGTAGTTTATCGTCTTACCCAGGACGCAGCTGTGATTTATCGCCATGCCTAGGACGGTTTCTTTTTTTTTTTATTTCATCATTAATCTCTACGTATATAGCAGGGGCATCAGAACATATGTGGCAGCAATATTCAAACATGGACGAATGGTAGAGTTATAAATATGTAAGATAGATTCAAGCGAGAAAATTTGTCGAGTACAAAACAGTGTACAAGCTCGCAGCAGACCTAGTAACGGATTCAATATAATCTTTCCACTTCATGTCAGCGGAAAGCATTACCTCGAGAGGGCGCAACGAGTCACTGTCCTGTAGGTTAGCATCAGCCATGCAGGTAAGGGTCTCTCAGAGGCTGAGAGTAGAATATAATTTACGGGTTAACAATGCGAGCTGTTTCATTCTAGTGATGGATGTTCAAGGAATAAAGGTTAAATCCAGTCCATGTGGAAATTATGAAGCCAGCGTTTTGGCTATCGACCTTTGCTTCTCTTACCGGCTAACTTTCCTTCTAGGCATAACTTTGTCCCGCCAAGAGGTGATCTTTTGATATGATAAAATATTTATAGAAAAATGCACATGGAGACACCCCATCATGACCAATAATATTTCTGATTCTTCTTTGGATTTAATCAAGGATCTCTAGACCATATGTGGCAATAGTATTCAAAGCATGGATGTATGGTAGACATATAGATATTTAAGAAAGATTCGGGGATAATAATTGTTTAGTAGACCTATCGATTTATTCAAAATTATCTTTCCACTTCATGCCAACAAATCCTTCTCAAGTAGGATAGTATCAGCCATGCTGATAAGAGGCAAGAAGGAGTCTTTCACCTGATTCATAGAGAAAAGTTTCATTATGAAGGCGTTAAAATTAAGCAATTTACTTGCCCTAGTTAACAACAGATTCTAGGTTATTTTCTGAATCAGCTCCCAATTTGACGTTATCAAAATGACCAGACTTACTATGAAATCAGGAGTAAAAGGCTGTATCATTCGTGTAAATATCAAGTTGAGAACAGGTGTCATCAAAAAGATCATCGTGGAAAATTAAACAACAAAGGAAACCTGAGGATATACAACCAAACGACACCTGTATAAGTATAAAACAATCGAAAAGAGAAGCCGTTAAGTATGACTTTCATTTTCCTGTTTGAAAGAAAAACTGAATCATGTCAAAGATTCGTGAGGACATACTATAGCCGTTCAATGAAGAAGACATATGCCGAACTCTGTCACACACTTTCGATATGTCCAAAGCAACATCTCGAAATTTACGATTATTATCTGAAGCTTGATAGCTTCTTTCAGCAATAATCAGCAGCTGACATAGATAAGCGAACATCAAATTGCTTGTCTGAAAGAAAGCCCAGCGATGAGAGATACTTAATTCAATTCAGACTTGATTTAAACTAGACTTATTTGATATTGATAATATTCAGCAATTTCCGAATTAAATTCAAATATTTGGATTTTAGAATAAGAGAAACCTGTAAAATTGAAGAGTAATTAACTAAGAAATTTCACAATTTTTTTTCGAATATTCCTTAAAGCTGACATTCATTTTAGATTATTCTGACTGTTATCCTCATCTTCATTGCCATATTCACAACTTTTCGGCCGTTGTACGATCCGGACTTCTTCAGGTGACTGGAATCTCGAACCGAACCCATTATTTCGTCCACCAGGGTAGATTGTTCCAGTTCCACGTGCCATGCCTCTTCCGGATGTCTCAGTTATTCCTCTTTAACTCATCTCTGAAGTTTTGGTTCACCACTGCTGTGGGCTGGTATTGAACTCACAACTCTTTGGGTCTACTCACTGCATCTAACCAACGTGCCCATGTGTCCTTGAGAGAATTTGATAACTGCAGCTTCCTGAAACAACAAATGTTTAAAAGTCTTATATGTTAGTTAATTTTTTTTAGTTCATTCATATAAACATATATATATATATATATATATACATGAATTATTCACACAAAACTAATGTAAAGGTTAATGATTTAAATGGCGAGACATCCATCATCGCAAACAATTCAAATAGTACACAAAAACCTCCAGATCCGTTATGAATGAATTGATCCTTGTTTATATAAATTTCTGCCGTATTAGTTGTTATTTTTACTACAAGCTTTCGTCTGTTCCTACAGACATCTTCAGGTATATAATAGATGTTGTTCTTGTTTTTTTTCTCTTAGTAATAAGAGGACATCGAAAATATACGTGTTATTGTATCCGAAATGCTATTGAAAATGAGTTATTGGTTTTTGAACGCGCCAAAGCAACGCTGAGTTTGATTTTAAATTTTTTAAAGTGTTTGCGTTTATACCAAATATGGTGATGAACAAATTTTTACTGGTAAAGCTTGTAGTAAAAATAGCAACTAATACGGCAGAAATTTATATAAACAAGGATCAATTCATTCATAACGGATCTGGAGGTTTTTGTATACTATTTGAATTGTTTGCGATGATGGATGTCTCGCCATTTAAATCATTAACCTTTACATTAGTTTTGTGTGAATAATTCATGTATTTGTAAATTGATTGCACGTTTATTGTAATATATATATATAAATATATACCCTCGTGGAAATTAATTGAAAGAAAACGAATAATTCCGTTATTATTTCCTTTTCTTTTGTATTTTTCCAACGAGACCTGTTTGTACTTCCTATGTCCATTCCACGAAGTCTTTCCTTGCAGATTGATCACAGAATCTCGATTGGATTTAAATACGGTGAGTTTCCCAGCCAGTCGATAGTACTTTGATTTGCTCACTGGTAAGGCTTTCTATTTTGTTCATGCAGAGTTACAATTTTCGTACGCTTCCTTGGAGTAACGTACGACAACTAATCGACAGTCGAGACAATAGTGTCTGGGCGTGATAAAAATCTGATATAATCACGGATGACGCAATATTTTAAAAGGCCAAACAAATTTCATCATACACCTCGAAAATAGATTCATATTACTGAACACCATTGCAAATGACCTATTCTGAAGAAAAAAAAAACAGAAATCGATTACACCTTGTCATTCCAATGAGTCTAAAACTGACCGTATGGCGAAAGAAATGAAAAAGCTGTTGTGTTAATTAATTTGCACAAGGGTGTAGTTATTTTTTTATATATTAGTTAATTTTGTTTTCATCATATTGTAAATGTAAAATTTCCTTTTTTTTGTGGGGCACATTTTATATAGAGTAATTATAGAAAATTCGGAGAATTGTTGGCAATAATTTAATGTTATCTTTTTACTGTTAGTTTATATGAAATGTTTTGTTATTCGAGTCCTGTATTGTAAAATTGCAAGGCGGAATTTATGTCAGCCGTACTCATCTTCATCATCATCGACAACATTGTAATCAGAACAAACGCTTATACGAAAGTTTTTCTTCTTATTAATAATAATGTCAGCGCCATTATCATTTTCCAGTCGTTTCCCGCCATTGGCATATCTTCATTTTCGACATTGTCGTCGTGACAATCTTTTGCCTGCCTTAGTCTACTTGTCTATTCGGACGTTGCCATGGAAACGAGTTGGTAAAAAAAAAAAAGTTTTATATGAAGAAAAGGAACAACGACAACAGGAACAATAAAAATGTATTTTCTTGTTTTTTTATCCTTAGTTTTAATATGTAATTTTTTTTCCCTTTCACCTTATATTTGTTGTTGTCGTTGTTGTTTTCAATGTGTTTTTTTTTTTTTTTTTTGATTGCCGTACGATTTTCCTTTCCCTTCAGGCTTATTGCGTCCGTTCTGGAGATTATTGCATATTTGGCACAGGTTGGCTAATTGAACAGTGAACACGACACATATCTACTGCTACACCGACTCCTACTTACATAGGTACAATTCACTTTGTCATTCTAGATCTTTTCCTTGCCACCGACAATCAATCCATCATCTCTTTTCGGCGTTTTCATCCAGTTCATCTGTTCATCAGCTTTTTTTTAATTCAATTCTTCTTCTTCTTCTTCTTCTTCTTCTTATTCTTCTTATTATTATTATTATTATTATTATCTTTTCATATAATCCATTTTTCGAATTATCTGATGTTGATGATTGTTCACAACATTATCATCAAAATTGTCTTCTTTTCTTCCTTCAATATTCGGGTATTTTTAGACTTTATTGTAAAAGAGTTCACTCCCATCAAATGCCACGCCCTTTTATTATTTATAGCAGCGTTGGCCAAACTCTTTAAATCGAACAGACGGTTCTTTAAATTTGCCATTGTATATTTTAAATTTTACCTTTACCTTTACCTTCTGTTTAGATTTTTATGAAATTTTCATATTAATTATTGTTCTTTTCCTAATTTTTGTAATTTTGCGAAAAGCATCAATTCTTCTTCTTCTTCTTCTTCTTCTTCTTCTTCTTCTTCTTCTTCTTCTTCTTCTTCTTCGTCGTCGTCGTCGTCGTCTTCTTTCCTTCTTTTACTTTTTCTTTTCCTTCTTTTTTTTTTTCTTCTTATTACTCTTCATCTTTTCTTCATTTTCTCATTCTCTTTCCTCTTCTTTTTCTTCATTTTTTTTCTTTATCTTATTTTTTTAAAATTTTATTTCCATTTCTTCCCTGCCTTCTCTTTCTTCATTGATCATTTTTTTTTCGTTTACTTCTTTCATTCTGAATTGAATTATTATTTCAATTTTATATCTCATTTTCATCTCCTTCACTTTTTCACTCAAACTTTCTTCTTCCTTTTTCCTTCTCCTTTTTCTCCTTCCTTTTCTTCTTCTTCTTCTGCTCCTCCGCCTCATTCTTCTTCTTCTTCCTGTACTGCTCTCCTCCTCCTTCTCCGGAGAGCTGCGTTAGAATTCCATTTGAATCCATTACATTCACTTACGTGCTAAAACCCTTGGGAAAGTTATGACTCCTCTCCTTCTCCCTCCAGCTATGGGTAAATAGAAGAACAGACCGGGTACTATAGCCATGGGTGGCAACTGGTCTACAGAAGAAAGTAATGGCAACCTACTGCGGGAAAAAATCTGCCTCCTCAGTCATGCATCAAAAGATACACGATCACCTCAGCGTGTATCACGCATGGCACATAACTGATTGACTGACTTTCTAGTCGAATTCATTAAGTTCACGTAGGTACTAAGGTGACACATAACTGACCAAAACTACTATTATATGCACGTAGATTATTGCCCCCCCCCATGTTAGTATTACGAGGTTTCGCACGTTATACCATCCGCCCTTCATCAGGTCTATGTCAGTCTGGATAACTTATAAGCAATTCGGAAACTGACATCTTTATTTAAACTACGGGTAAATATAGAGGAAGTTTCACAGAGTGTGTCCTTGTATAGAAATGATGAAGAATAACATATTTTTCTTTGCTTCATTTTCCCGATCAATTTGCTGGCAATAAACATCTGTATAAATGTCACTTTCATCTTCCAATAGCTTGTCATGGACGACAGATCTCATACTGTAAAAAGACCCCACACCACGCCTTCTGTGGATGGAGTCCCGGTTTTGTTATCGGCACTGACATCACATTTTGCCAAAAAATAAAATAAAATAAAACAAAAAATGACGCAAAACTCATTTTTCATCATCTGTAACAATGCGGTGTTAAATGAAAGGTTGGCATTCCTGGTTAAAAGATTGTTCCAGATGCTGGAAGGGTGTTTCCCAAGCGAAAACGCACGAGGAACCAAAAATATCATTTTGAAATTTTTTACTAATGGAACGCTAAAATGTACGATAATCAAAAATAACAAAATCTCGGATACGCTAGCGCCAGTGTCAAGCAATGTCACGTCTCTTTAGTGGGTGGGTTTATCATGTTGAGACACCGGTTCTCTTACGATAACCGAAGATCCTGTGTAAATTTGGCTGCGATGCATCTGCCTGCTATACCTTTATCAAACTGGTTATTCTGATGGATATATTGATCTTTGTATACTAATACCCCTACATGACATCCCATATGTCTTTTCCTGGGCAGATTGTTTGAATTCCACATGGTACAGTGGATGAAATCGTTGGTTGAGTAATCCAAAAAGTGGCTTGATCCAAAGTGTACTGAGTTCAATACCTGACCACAGCAGAGGGAACAAAATCTTGGAGAGTTGATTTTCTAAACGGAATTAACAGAAATGTAGATATCCAAAAACAAGGCATGGCACGTGGAAATAGAACAATCTTCATCCGTGGAAGAAATAAAGTGTTCGGTTCGGAATTTCAACGTATATCAGTTGACGAAGGCAAGAGCGTACAACAGCCGAAACGTTATGAATATGATAATAAAAATGAGGACAACATCCGAAAGATGTAAATAATATATATATATATATATATATATATATATATATATATATATAAAAACATTATTTTTTTTTTTTAATGAAAGTCTTTGCTTTTTGCAGAAATAATTAATTTCTAAATACTATGGAAGCTAATTTTATTAGGAGGTTGAGAAGAATTCTTTGGTTATTTACAAACAGTGAAATTAATGTCCCCTGGCCTAGAGCATCAAAAAATTTATTAAAGAACATATCTGGGATCGAATCTGAATTCAAGAGAAAACGGTTACGCAGTTTTCATTTTCATTCTTTTTTTTTTTTTTTACTAATGTTCACCCAGTATAAGGCTCAAGAGCCAATCAAGGTGGTGGCTGTCCGCTCCTATCTGAGTATAACTGTCCACTAGGACGGCTAGCCAATCCCTATATGAGACGCCAGCTCAGGCACATTTGTATTTGTTCAACACCCACAGAGACCCCCCGCGCCTGTGGTTTATACTGAGCGGACTTTAGTTACACTTCAGAGATTTGTTTGATCGACCCTTTCAGCAATAATCCTTAGTACATCTTCAGTTGGATTACATAAGCGAACACCGGATTGCTTGTCTGATATAAGGCCCTACAATGTAAGATGCTTAAACAATGTAAGATGCTTTAAACTAAACTTATTAAATACCGATAATGTCCAGCTATTTCCGAATAAAATTAAAATATTTAGATTTTAGAAGAAGTGAAACCTGTAAAATAGAACAGTAATTAACTAATTACAATTATAATTCATCATATGAAAAATCGACATCAAAAATCATATTTTATGGCTAGGTTCGCTACTATTCTTTTCCCGTCTACATTTGTTGTTTAAACCTGCTTTTTCTTTCGCTGTATATCCGGCCACGTTGACATTTTTTTTGTTTTGTCTATAACAAACTAGTTAAGCATTTTTGGACTCAGTAACAAGGCATTTCAATGATAATAACTCATCCAAAAATTCCGTTATAAATGTCTTTTTCTCCAATATTCTGTTATTATTTTTCATTCATCTTAACCCTCTTTATCCGTTACACATGATCAGTCATGCTTGATTTCATAGTCTGTGAAATTTTCAAATGAATTGTGGGGAAGAGCGCATTATCTGGCGTGATCAAAAGTTTGAACAAGGCTCAAAACGACGTACTTGCCACTTCGTGGAAGCACAGCCATCGATGTCTCTCAAATTGTTCTATATACCCCATTTTCACTCACACGGCTTGGGTCAACCAATGGGATGGTTTCCAGATATTTTCCTATGGGGTGAAACGTCGATAACATCCAGAAATTCCCTTCTGACCATTATGAGATTCGAAACCTGGCCGAAAAGCGAATTTTCTAACCACTCCGCTAAGCACCCATAATACTCAAGGTAGTGGGTTTCTGAATGAAGTTTGTGATATAAATGTAAGATGGGGAAGTAAGAAGGGAAGACGATGAGAATAAGGAGCATAGATAGCCATTGACCCTTGACTTTCTGAGGCTAATATTCAGGTGTTAAGGGAATCGTCCAATTAGAAGAATTTTTCCTCTAAGTAACAGTACTTGGGAAAAATACATCTCATTTGTTTTCTTTTTCACAGTTGGAAAACTGGGTAAATGATAATGATTCGAGTCTGTGGACGGAGCATGATGGGTCTTAGCTGTTATGGTCTGACGAAAATATTATAAGCACGTATATAGAATTGTACCTTTTCTGAGCGTATATATATATATATATCTTTTTCATTGTTCTTTACTGCTTTTTTTTCTATGGTTAATATGGCCATCGGCCATTTTCTGGCAAGGCGTTACAAATTTATTCTCACACTTATTTCTCAAGAACAAAATCAAATTGGCTAGGAAAAAGCCGAAGGCATAATTTTGGAAGCATCCAACCCATAAATCATTTGCACCACAGAGAAAATAAGATTCTTCAAGCAATTGCTATCGCACGCATTCTCATCGTGCAGATGTGGCAGATTTTGGAAGTACAAAAAATATTTTTAATATTAATCACCTTTTAACATTTCAATTTTAGAAAGGTTTTACTGACCTTCAGCATCATCAACGAAAGCCAATAATTATAATATTTTACAAACACGGGCAGATTAAGAATGATAATTTTTTTTTTTTGCAAGATCTGGCTAGAGTTATAAATTTAGACAATAACCAGTGATGACATCAAACCTATCTAATGAAAATCTGACGAAATCTAAATATTAGGTTGGCCAGAGAGTCTTGACTGATTTAGGAAGAGGGAAGAAAACAAGAACATTTTATGAAGCAACACCAGCATTTATACTTCAAAATAAATGCCCATCATTAACGGCGATCTTCTGCGAGTGATCAGCCAGCAACCGAATCTGTTCAAATAGCAGCCCGATTGCATTGAAGCAAAAAACTGTAACACAAGCTTCCGTCACTTCATCAAAAGTGTTGGATCGCTGTCCGCGGAGGAAGTGTGCCATAGCCACTCAGAGCAGTATCAGGCGTGAATGGTGGGCATGGAAGAATCTCAATGCTGTTCATCTGTTTAAACTTCAACCTGGCAATGTGTGACCTCGCATTATCTTGCTGAAACAAAGCCTAACCTCGACTGACCAAAGCAGGAGACTCTTTCTTTAATTTGTTGTACACGCGGTTTAGCTGCCGATAATATAGTTTAGCTTTGATGGTGCGTCATGTGGAACAAGGTTGGAATGCATTACTCATTGGAAATTCCACCAGACAGAGATCAAGATTTGTTGTTTTCATTCCGCCTGCTACGTAAGTCAGGACTTCCTGGCCAACTTTGTATTTAAGATAATTTGGTGAAATTTCAATTAACCCTTATATGTTCCTTGTTCGTCCCTTTCCGCGTTATCAGACAAAGAAATTTTCGCAAGAACGCAATCTACATTCGTGAGATCAGACCTGATTGATGCTAATCGCTTGTAATGTCTATTTTTTTATTTTATTGGTTTTTATTTATTTATTTATTTATTTATTATTATTTATTATTTATTTATTTTATTTTATTTTATTTATTTCGTTATCAAAATTGGTCGTTATTCTAATCAGTTCAGTACCAAGGAGTAGTAGTAGAGCAGTTTCTCATGTGGCCATCTGAACAGTTCCTCCCACATATCTGGGATGAAAGCTGGTGAAGCATGTATGCATATGTAGCGTGTCGTCCTCAAATATCCTGGCGAAACCCATCCCTCTCACCAACTGATATCTTCTAACTTGAATGGATTTTTAAGGAGCGTTTGTTATCATCATTATATGTACTCATTATATATATATATAT